TATTACCAATTCTTCCCTCAACCCTCAGGATCGGGGTAAAATCCAAGTGTCATGAATTTTGCATATGCTCGGGATTTAGATCTGAAATTGGTTTCCATAGAAAGCCGACAATATAGCAACAACTTATTCCCGGAAATTTGTCTATTTGAAAACTTTTTTCGTAAAAAAATCACAGCTAAAACTCGTGAAGTAATAATCTTTTGTTTTCTTATTTTTTGTCTCTTTAACAATAATTTACATACTGTGTTGTATTAGTCACCATAGATCTGTATTTAGAAGTATTGAATGATTTTTTTAATACTGCCCAAAAAAACATATATTTGTTTTTTATGTTACTTCTCTCTTTCATATCACACCAAAGTGCCACCATAGTCTCTCATAAGTTTTACTAAATAATATCACGTATTATATTTCAAAACCAAATTATGATAGCAAGTCATTATAAGCGTCAATGATGTCAATTAGCAGTAATGTCACGTACCATTCCGAAAAAACAACAACAACCAAAATATTGAAAAGCAAAACTAAGAAAACACAATCGGATGGTTTTGATTGATAAGTTCTATGCTAAAGACCAAGTTTTTAAATCGCAGTTCAATGATTAAAAGAAATGATTACACATAATATTTTTTTTAGCTAATTGTGACATAATTAGCTACCCAATGCGATTGGAAAATATTCTAAATATATATTTTTTGGAATGGAAATTTTTTTACAAATGCAACATAGTGGAAGTGATGCAAATGTGGTATTGGTTGGTAATGTGGTATAGTCACTTTTTTTGTAAACTGAAAATTTTAGAATAACTAAAACATGTTCTATAGTTTGCTGTTCTCAAAAAAATAAGATAGCAATGACCTGTTTAATTTATTTAAATCACGTTGAGAATCAGTACCAAAAATAAAATTTTTCATGAAATTGACTTTTTTTCGGTTGAAGTTTAAAAATAATTTTTTGTTTTACGGATGTACTTTAATCGTTATTACTAAAGCATTAAAATAATCAGTATGAACTAAAAATCAAATAATATGCGCGATTGCACCACATAATCACCAATTTGAAAAAAAAACTAGACATTTCTTCAGTAAACACAAGTGTAGGTAATGTGGTATACCTTGATTCTGCATGAAAAAACATTGTGAAACATTTGTACTCTACGAGAGTCTACCATGAATCACAAGGATGAAAAACAAAGGCTATGAGTTTTAACAATTTCCCCATACAAAAATTAAATATTTCCATGTGTAGACATTATTATATAATAAAAATTTAAGTTCCACTCAAAGTATCCGTTAAAAATCTTAACAGACATAAATCTCGAGCTAATTCGCATTCATTAAAAACAATAAATTATATAAGATATCAATTGGAAGTGAAAATTATACTATACCACATTAACATCATGTGGTATACCACATTACCTGCACTTTTTTAAAATCAATTTTAATGGAGTTTCAAATATTTTCTCAAATATCTCTTAAATTGATAGAAAAATATTATTTTCAAATTTATACATGGAAAGACAACACATGTAGCATGTTAAGTGCAAAATTTCAATTTAATCGGATAAAAAATAAAAATTTGGCTATCTAAAAACAAATGGGTATACCACATTTGCATCACCTCCTATAGTTTATAGGAGATCAAGGAAGTGGGGAAAAGTTTGGTTTCCCTTTCTCTCTCAACAATTTAACATACGAAAATCTGAATCCGACTTCTGAAAAATTTAAAGGGTCTGTACTTTCCTGATTGCGATAAATGATTTAAACAGATAATATTTTAAGCTTATACTCTGAAACATTATTCGGGAATGCAAGAATCTACTAATTTTTAAAATTTTTTTCGATGTCATAATGGACAATTGTAAAAATGTCTACATTCTTGCAGGTCCTGGAAGTGACATTATGTAGCCTTTCTGTCCCAAAATTTTCTATTTTTTATGTTAGCGGACTTTCATTTTAACGACGAACTAAAAATGTTTGAGTTTTTCATTGAAACAAATATCCACATAATGGTCATACTATATGTATACATACATGTGTGCGTGTATATTTGTGTATGTTTTCTTGTTGTTGTTGCTGCTGTAGTAGAATAGTTAAAAAGCTTTTTGTTATACAAATATTGACACAAAATATTAGTTAACTATTCTATGAATGTTTACCATATTTTTTTTCTAGTTTCTCGTAATTTCGTGAATATTCAATTACGTTCAGAAAACAACGAAAAGAAAACATAACGGTCTATTACCGTTAATCATATTTTAATAGCATGAAAATATGGTTGCCAGTTTGGAAATATATACAACAGAATCGAAGAAAAATTCAGTCATGCTATTTGTTAGTTTAAAAAATATCACAAACATTACATTATTGGAAATATCAGTTCACGATAAATTGTTAATAGTGGGAATTTCAGATTACCATAATTTAAAAGAACTTCTCCTAAAAAAATGTTTCATATAAATTAATTTTGCGACATACGAGGACATCTATACATACTTCAGGCCTATGCAGTGCTGACTGGGGTCAACTGACGTTTCCTTTAAAAAAATAATTGTTCCATAAGCCGAGCTTAAAAAAAATTTCCAGCCTCGTCGGTCTTGTGCGCAGCTCTTCCAATTTAAAAGGTCATGTTTCGAAATGTTGTCTTCCACTTGATCTTTCCCCTTCTGCGTAAACTATGAGTTGACTCGCTATTATAAGCCTTTTGAGCTGGGGCATCCTCATCCATTCTCAAAACATGACCTAGCCACCGTAGTCGCTGCAGCTCGTTGTCGATGTCCGAGAATAGATGGTACAGCTCATGGTTCATTCGACGGTGATATTCACCGTCGACGCAGATCGGCATATAGATCTTTCGGAGATCTTTGCTTGCGCAAGTACCCATGCTTCAGATCCATACACCAGCACGGTTGGTATCAGCTAGTAATGGCATTGTTTTTGAATTGGTTACTCAGACCATAGTAGCATCTGTTGGCCAACACTAGTTTTGTTTATGGAGGTACCGAAGCATATAAAGCCATTCACTACCTGGAAGCTGTAGTTTTCAAGTTCCACAGTTGGTCCCAGTCTACTGGAGATCTTGCTCGTTGATACCATCAGCTTGATCTTCTCGGCATTTACTGTCGGACCTACTTTCTCAATTCGTTCAAAGGTGGGTGTTACCGCTCGCAAATGTAGATGTCGTCGGCGTAGGCGAGTAACACGTGTTGTTTGGTGTGCGGAGTGTCATTTCTGTTCACCTTTAACTGCAGGATGTTGTTTAAATCCGAGAGCTCCTTTCAGACTTTAACTGCTGACCTTGTGCCAATTGTGCCACACCCTGTGTGGGTCTATTCCAGGATTTGGCGCAGTGTGAAAATCTGGTCTATAGTGGATTTGCCAGACCTGAAGCCGCACTGAAAAAATCCAATAATATCATTGACCATTGGTTTTAGGCGCTCACACAGACCGCTGGATAGCACTTTATATGCGATGGGAAGGAGACTAAATACTCTATTGTTTACACATATCGTCTTGTTTCCTTTTTTTGTGCACGTGTCACAGGATGCTGAGGTTTCAATCATTGGACATGCATTCATCTACCCAAATTGTGTCGGCCACCGGTCTTGAATAGTTTGGCTGGTAATCCTTCGGCACGTGCTGCTTTATTATTCTTCTGCCGATTAATTGCTATTCTGACCTCATCTTGGCTAGGTGGTATATATAATCTATACCGTCATCTCTTATTGGTTCTGGGGTGTCTTCTTCACCGTTACTATTTGGTAGCAGAAGCTTTGCACAATGCTCGTTCCAGATCCTCAACACGCTGTCTGTATCTGTCACCAGGTTTCCTTCTTCATCCCTGCAGGAAGATGTGACTGCTCCAAAAGCTTTGGGTTGGTGTTTTCTCGTTGGAAAAATTTATGGACTTTATTCTGACTCTCGATGTTCTCTTGCTCTAGTCTTCCCTGTTTTTTTATCGTTTCTCCCGATAATTATCTCTCGCATTGCGGGTTAATAATGTTTGCAGGGTTGCCCTATACACAGTGTTTTTACTTCTATATTATTATCGGAACAAGGAGTGCTTTCGACTAGCATGTGGCTAAGTTGATTGGAGTAGGCTTCTGCTGTTGTGCTTGCAGCGTTTCGACGTTTGCGTGCTGTGTTAGACCTTTGCTGCTACATTAAGACGAGTGCGAATCTTGGCAGCCACAATGTAATGGTCCAACCGATATTCGCTCCTCGGATCGATTGAATGTCTAAAACACTGAATGAATGCCTTCCGTCTATCACAACATGATCAATTTGGTTTCTCGGAAAAATCCAGGTGGCCTTGTGTATATCGAGATTCTTGAATCTGGTGCTGCTAACCACCATGGTATTTTTGGTATAGACCACATTTTACATGCTGATGATATTTTTAGACTGAAGTTGATGTAAATTGGTCTCCGGATTCTTTTATAGAAAAACCATCTAGCATAAAATTTGCAATTTATTTCCCTACTTCAAAAAAGACTCCACTTAACGATTCGCGTCCTTTGGAACTACACTAGAGCGAATGTGTGTGTACCACCCTATTCTTTAACGATGTTTTAATTTGTTGTTTTGTTTGAACATGTCAAGGGATCGTCTTCCAACTTCTGAGTAATAAGAGATAGTAACAAGTTTGCTAATGAGGATAATTATTGAATTTTCGCATGAGCAAAGACCAATCGATTTTAAAGGGTTTACGTATCGTTTTCTTTGACTAAAAAGTTGTTGTGCATCTTGAGAGCACCTGATAACTATCGACGACCAATTTAGTTGGGGCCTTTGAATTTGTAAAGTTTCAAAGATTTAAAAAGCAAAAAATCTACAGATTTGATGGAACCTTGTACTGAGATAGGAGAAATTTTAGAGAATAAAGGAATTCTGAAATTAAAGTCGCTGTAGATTTTTTAAAATTTATTTGATTTTTTAATTATTTTTAATAAATGTTTATCAAAACAAAAAAATATTTGTTTTTGTTTCTCATTTCAGATCGAACGCGGTGATACCCTGCCACAACAAGTTTGTGTTACATGTGCCAAAAACACCATATCCGCCTGCCTCTTCAAAAAGAAATGTGAGGATGCGGATAATTTCTTTCGGCAGCAATTACTTCTGAGTAAAAATGATGACAGTAAACATCACCTGCAAGACAATCATGAATCGGAAGCTGAAGAAGAAATTCTAACCAATGGTCGAAATCATCGGACCGTTAATGAAGATGACGAAGACAATAGTGAACGTAGCTATAAACAAGAACAACAACCACATCACAGACAAATCAATGGCCAACATAGAAATGATATCGGTTATCAAGTCCCAGACAATCAAACTCACGATGAGGAAGAGGATGAAGAAGATGACGACGATGATCATCATGAAAATGCCATGATGAAAGCCGCTCTCAACAATAATGGCCAAAAACAGCCGACATTCGATTTTAATTCCATACGCCTGATGCACGAATATATGCAACAACATTTGAGTAAATTTAATGGAATGCAAAGTCATCACCAGTCTGCAGCAGGTGGTGGTGGCGGTAGTGATGCAGAGGTCGGTGGTAATGGCAGCGCCACAGATTCCGATGATCAAGATGATGAAGAACATTTACCGTTAATACCTGAAATTGAATTGATAACACCCAGTGAGGAGGCGGGGGGTAGTAATGGTGGTAGTGGTGTGGGGCAGGAAGCATCCGGAGAGGGTAATTCTACGGTTGCTATGCGTGGTTATCAGTGTCCTCATTGTTATCAAATATTCGAAATGCGTCAAGTCCTCAAGGCTCACATGCAAAGTGTCCATGGCACAGCGGGACCGGTGTATGAGTGTACGAATTGTAAGAAGACCTATTTCTATAAGAGATTCCTGGAAAAGCATATACGTCGCGGACGTTGTGTTAAAAAGCGACGTAATCAAACGTAAGTGAAAAATTTCGATTATTTATTAATTCGAAATAAATAGAAAAATAAATAATAAAATAGTGGTATTTTCTCCATCAGCTCCCCTCATAAACACTCTAATAATTTTTTTGTAACCCAGTCATATTTTTCTCTTTTTACAGTCGCCCAATGCAATGTTCCGATTGTAATGTCCTCTTTCCCACTGGCCATCATTTGGGCTGGCACAAACGCACAGGCTGTCCATCAAAGACAGCAAAAATGTAAGTAGTAATACCTTTATATTTTTTCTGACTTTTCCTAATGCGATTGTTTAATTTTTTTCAGGCCCCTACAGCAGCTATTCAAGCAGAATATTGTTCAGTACAATAACTTTCCACGTCGCATTGGAATGCGTAAACCTGAGAATGCCTTATATTTGCATAACCGGAAGTAAGTTTATTTTCTGGTTTCATAGTGACTCATTGTTAAGTGAGGAAATAGTGTAGCATACTTTTAGGCGTCATTTGAATTTGTTTTAATGTACAAATTGAAATGACTTCCCAAAAAGTTTGTATGGGCTTTTAAACCAATGGAACAAAAAATTCATATAAACAGATTTTGAGATGAGAAGCAGAGACATTTTTTACCTTATTAAAATCCGAGGAGGATTTCCCAGACATGCAAATGTACACGTCCGACCAATTACAATGTGACAGGAAATCATGATCAATGTTTGAGGTTAAAACAATTTAGCAACTTGTAATTTTCCTATCCGCAATGCAGTACATCGTTATCACATAGAATAATAATCCTTCATGTTTTGCCATACCTCTCATATAAGAGTCCCGACCCATTTTAGTTATTTGGAAAGCCCACCTTAGCTTTAGCGGCTGTATATAAGATTGAGTTCAATTAGGAATAACTGGGAGTAGTAATCCCATGTATATAAGGAAAACTTCTTTGATATGACAACCATTGTGTTTGGCAAAGTTAAAGGTTGGGTGACCGCCCGAACAGGATGTACACCTCTGATGAATACGTTAGATCTAAAACTAGATGTCTATGGCTTCTATTTCATAATGATCTTCACTTAGTTGTTTTCGTCATCTCATTTGGAAGACCAGAGATTAAATTGTGTGACTTGAGATTGGGCAAGGTCATGGCCAGATATATATTACGTATATTCTGTAATTGAGTTTCATTCATTCGTCGATGGCCTAACATCTAGCTTAGCTACTAACAAAAGATTTATGAATTAGCGACATTTCCCAATCTGGAGCATTTTAAACAGTTCGGTCGCCATCTTGATTTCTAGATTCTACAGTTGAAAAATACTTTAATTTCAATAAATGTTTGTGTCTGCTCACATCTTAGATTTTTCTTTATATATCGATAATTCTATCTGTCACATATAATCACTAGTGAGTGAGAATCTCAAATCCATATTGACTGGAACCGGAACAGAGAGTTGCATATACTCTCTGCAGAATTTTACGTTTTTCAATATTTAATTTCAAAACAGTATTTAGTACTATACAGATCATTATTTTGAATTATTATTATTGCAAATTAAATCCATAATCTGATCATAACATCTATTCGAATTCCCATGTTAATACTAAGTCTAAAATACAATTATATTTTGTACAAAAGCGTTAGCACTACCAAAATCTTAAAAGCTAATTCGAATTCAACTTATATATTTAAAGTTGTATATCTTTCACTTCCATTCACTAATTTCATTTGCTTCCCTTCTTTCAGGTTGATGATGGCCAATAACAAACGTAAAGGACGTACTCGCATCAAGTTGGACGCACGCAAAATCGCCCTGGCCAAACAGTTGATATTACGCGAAGCCACAACAACGGTTATAGCCAATGAATTGAATATCTCGCGCACCTTTGCCTGGCGTTTGCGTAAAAGTCTGGTCAACGGTGTCAGTCTACACGAACGTGTCATAGATCCACCCGAAGGTGAAGAAGGTGATGAGGGTGGTGATAACAATGGTTATGATGTAAATGTAAATGAATCAGCTGCCAATGCTGCAACAACGGATGCCGTAGAGAATTTCGCACATAAGTCTGATAACTTTTTGAATCATCATCCATTCACTGAGCACATTAAATGTGAAAATCCCGATACTGAAGATGAAATGGAAGGCGATGGTGGTAGTGGTGATCATAATGAACTGCCCAATGGTGAAGACCAAGATTTACAACAGCAACATCATTTACAAATGTTACATGAAAATCAACAACTCGACCAACATACACAGGCATTGAGGCAAGCGGCAGCAGTGGCTACATCGGTCATCCAAAGAGCCACAACTGCAGCAGCAACGGAACAAAATTTAACTCAGCAACAACAGAAGGCCATAGAACAAAAATTTCATAACACAATATCTGTAGTACAACAACAAAGACTTATGGAATTAAATCCCAATAAAGAATACACTGTTCCGCATCGTCATCATTCTGCGCAGCAGAGAAAATCCGATGATGATGAGGATGATGATGGTACTGAGAGTAGACAGGATAGTGAAATGACTGAAGATACTCATCATTATCTTCAACAACAGCAACAACAAGAGACTGATATGAACAAATGTGGTGTTAATAGTCAACAGCAACAACAACAGAAATATTTAAAAACTAATTCCCTAAATAACATACCCGATCCCTTAGTTGCAGGATCAAGTAGCAGTAAAATGTCGCTAATATCACAGTTGACACCAGCAGTAGCTGCAGCCATGTAAGTTCGGAAATTTAATGATTAAGCTTCTTTAAATGATTATGATTTTTTCTTTTTTAGAAACCAATTACCGGTTAATTTATCCATACGGCCAATAGCATCAATGCAGAATAATAATGAATCGTAAGTTTTAACATAATACACATATGCTTCAATTGTCACAGAATTGACAGAGGTGGTATACGTTGATCTAGTGGGCCAACCTGCCACCAGTTAAATTTATAGATATAGATTATATATATTCTGGACCCGGATTTAAAACAACGGAACATTTCAAAGTCAGTAATATCACATGAACCATCCATGAGATCAAGAAGGAATGTGAGACTTGATAATCAAGTCCATACCATATTAGGCAATTTCTCATACATTAAATGTCCTCAATTTCAAAATCCAATACAGAAATAAAATTCGGACATTAATTTGATGCAGTTCTCATAATGACAACCGGGTAATGCATTTTCCTGGTTTATATCCAGTCTTCTAGAACATTTTCTCTTGTTTTGAATCGCTAGCGGCTATACGTTATATTTGAACGTCCTTTTGTCGGATCGTTTTCATTTATCGATTGTTAATCCGATTGCAATCCTTTATTAGAGTTGTTTTGGGATTCGATTTTTGTACAATGATTATCTGGCCTTGACACTCTTAGTTGTGGAAAATATTAGAGAAGTCTAGACTAACATATATATTTTGTTCGGAACTAGTAGAGTTAACATTAACATTAGACTTTAAATTAATTTCCTGTCTCCAGAACTGCACAATATGTTGTCCAGGTGCCATCATCGCCTATGTGGGGTATATTTATATTGTGGTTAGTCATTGTAGGAATTGTTTCATATTGTTTCACATACTGTGAAATGTTTAATATTAATTTATCTTGATGTTCTGATATTTACAGATAAGGGCATTCAAGATCGAGTTCTATTTCGTCATCACTTTTGTATTTTCTTTCTTCCGTCTGGAATTCTAATAATAGTTTTCTTTCACTTTCTTTTGCAGCCCATCAAACGATGCCACAACGAACAATCCCAAAAAGAAACCACGCAAACCGAATGTTTTCATTGATGATGAAAAATATGCCATGGCCAAAATGTTGGTGGCCCAGAATGCCTCAACCATGGAAATTGCAAAAGCATTGAATGTCTCACAAATGACAGCTTGGAAACTGAGAGATGCCATTATTAAAGGTGTGCCACTATCATATCGAAATCGTCGTGATATGCGTATGACATCGATGTCCTCCGGCAGGGCGGAAGAAGATGTTGCCAGTAGTAGTAGTATGATGCCAGCAGCGATGAGTGAACCTAATGAAACCAATCAACGTGAAACAGATGCTGAACGGCAACAGCAAGCCCTGTTGGTACAACAACAATTGGAACATCAACAAAAGTTACAGCAACAACATTTACAACAACAGCAACAAATACAGCAGCTATTACAAAGGCAACAACAATTACAACAGCAGCAACAACAATTGGAACAGCAAAAACAAAAACGTTTACAGCAACAACAGCTCGAAGAACAACAGCAGCAGCAACAATTACAACTTCAACAACAACAGCAGCAGCAACAACACGAACACAAATCTTCAAACCCGAGACGTCGTCTTAAGGCAGCTGAACGTGAAATTCGCGACAAAGAAATTACACGAGAAATCCTGGAACTTATCAAAGAGGATAGCAACATACAATATTGGAAGGTATCGGCCCGTCTGGCCGAAAAAGGTTATGCCATTTCACCCTCCTCGGTGTGTCAAAAATTAAAATCCATGGGTATACATAGGCGCTGGAAGCCTGGTGATAAGCCACCCCTGATCGATATGGAACATTTAAAGGCCACAGCGGCGACAACAGCAACAGCATCCTCGGCATTGGCTGCAAATAATAGTTTGGCAGCAGTTGCCACACTGGCAGCCGCAGCGGCTGCCGTTAATGCACAAAATGCCTCCTCATCTGCTGATGAAAGTTATGAGCAGCAATTCGATATGGGTGGCGCACATTTTCTTAGTGCCTTTACACGTTAGGAAAATAGATTGAGGGAAAGAGTGTATGAATTGAGGAGAATATAAATTAGTGTTATTATTGGAGAACAAACAACAAAATTATATTAATAATAAAAAATAGGGCCATTCAGAGCCATCAGCATATAGTATATATCCTAGTTATAGCATGAAATATAGAAATGTATATTTATTGCATTATTAACTGTTTGCAGCTAAAACAAAAAAAAAAACACATTCATACATACTACACATTTAGGGAAATTTTTTGGAAATCATGATGATGCCTAATAAGAAGTATATATATACATAACCTACAAAAACAAATTCTATATTCAAAGAGTAGAATACATATATAAATATTTAATCTTTGCTAGTCCTTTTATACTCTACACCACAACTACACTATTCAAAAAATTTACCTTCTCATGGGGTATAGGTTAGATCACTTTTTATAAATCAAACACGGTATGGAATGATTTATTTCTTATCTTTTTAAAATTTATTTCAACTCTTTGCAATAAATCATACACAGTAAAAAATATATTATAATTTAAACTTTTACCAGATCAAATTTCATTATCCCCTCGAATGCCTTCAATCGACATATTTCTCTTTTATTTAGATACAAAGCTAGAATAGTGGTGTAGGGTATCATATTATCGGCCTTGTCGATTATATTCTTTTTTAAATTGTTTTTGTTTTTATTTTTTCTACAAAGAGTCTGTATTTCTCATATCAGCTTTATTCTGTTCCCTTAATTCACTAATATAAGCTATTTTTATAATTTAAAATCAAAACAACGTTCCATTTTTTTAAGAAAAGTGTCATTATTTTTATAAAAAAAAGAAAGCTATATAATTAATGTAGAAAATTTAGTTTAAAACACACACAAAAATATTATGCTTATATACATTCACATAAATATATATATATATATATATATATAGTATATAGTTTAGAATTCGGTAGAACTGAATGAAATGTATGAAAACTAATTCTTATGTAAGAACTGAACCCCTCACATTGACTAGTTAATGAAAACAAAAACAACAACTACAAACTAAATAAAAGATAATAAATATATATATTTGAAAAAATCATATAGAATTATATTTATAAAACTAGATATAAAAGAAACTATATTGACTGTTTAGTTTTTTGTTTGTTTGTGTTTTCGAATTACCCACATTTTCTACTCATAATCATAGGCACTGAAGAACTGTTATTTTTTTAGTTCAATACAAGTGTTATATATTGCCTTCTATTGATTTATTGTATTCAATAAGGGATATGATAATTGAAATTAAGCCGAGAGGCCAAAGGGGCTACATTTGCATCTCTTTTTGCCCACAATTTCTGTTTTCATTTATATGAAAATACTCGAATAACTCGGCTCCATAATGATGAGAACATTGATTTTACCGAAAGCAATCTGTGGCACTTGTATTGATTTTTCACCTTTAGTTAATTTATATATTCTGATTATTCAAGTCCTTATAGAACAAATAACTATTTTTTAAGCATTAACAAATATAATTTTATTTTAACATAACAAAAACATTCCTTTTTTGTGTAAATCAGCAGCTGTTTTTATGTATATTATTTACAATATTTTTAATATAATACCCGCCACAATTAAATTTTTTTCTATATAAATATTAATTGAAAGATTATTAAGGCCAAAAACTGATTTATGTTAAAAAGATGGTCTGGATTTTAAAGTAACTTTAAGTTCCATAGTCTTAAACGTTGCAATTACCGTAAGAATTCAATCTGTTTTATGCTTCGGTCCATATCTAAAAGTCTTTAAAGTATTTCCAAGTATTTTTTTTTTGTTTCCTTTGTTTATCTATTTTATTTACTTTGTTTCTCTTTTTATTTTAATACAAGTGGTTTCTCTTCAAAAGACATGACTAGATTTGTAACATCCATGAATAATATATTATTTATATATAAAATAAATATATAATCATTTTTTAATTTATAAGTTATTTTTTTTAAGTTTTTCGTTGTAGAAAATGTGAAATACTTTTTCAAATTCCTACCATCAATTCCGTATCCATTTATCCTTTTGTAATTAGTCTGATTTTTTTTTCCTTTTTCATTTTGGAAAAAAATGGTATAGGATACAAAAGGAATAAAAACCAATATTAAAAACCATCCACACAGTGCATTTTAGAATAATTAGAAATGCAAGAAAAAATGTTTATACACATATTAAAAATATATATTATTAAATAATATGAAATAAATATATATAAAAATAAAAGACATATTACAATTAAAATTGTTTTTTTAATTTTATTTCGTGGAGTATGGGTGAGGTCGAACGTGGTTCCAGACGAACATGAGGGATGGGAATAAATATAAATTTGGAAATAAATAAATACCAAACATTGACCTCAACTCGACTATCTCTATTATAAATATCTATCTATCTAAAAGTTCCCGAGAATACCCGAATTTATATAATTTTGTTTTTATCTTTAAAAATGGAAAACGTTTGGAGGTTTATTTCCAGGTAAATAAAAAATGTAAATTAAAAGCCAATTTTTAAACAAACATTGCAGTGACCTCCTTATTTTCTTACTGCAAATTGTTTATTAAAAAATTAAAATAAAAACATTTAAATACAATTATATTACAATTCTAATAAAGGATATACCAAAATGTTGTCAAAAATAACACAAATAATATAAACATGTATTCAAATAAATAGAACATTTATTTATAGTAGACATACATATGTCGTCTAGTCGAATGATACAAACATGATTAAGTTACTATATTTAGTCGATTTTTTATGTTGTATTGAAAAATGCTTAAAAATACTAATTGCGTATTTTAATAGATTTCGTTTTAATAAAAAACAAGTGTCAGTCGTTGTTGCCGACAGATATTTACGAGAGCAGTTCGGAAAGTTCTTAGTGTTTTGGAAACTTCCATCTCCGTTATTAACACGATTACCACATGTTATATTTTGTTTCGTTCCGGCAACTACTTCATATAGAAACAGGTGTTCAAAAAAGACGCATCCGCAATTTCTTACTATGGAAAAATACTGTATGAAGGAGTTGCCAGATCAAAACTAAATTTAACATGTGTTTATAACAGAGATGGAAGTTTTCAAAACACTTTACATTTTTCTGTTTATTCCGCGCTTTTTGTTCTAGGCTAAGAACTTTTTGTCCTGCTATCCTCAGCAAAGGTCCTCGGAATTACACTCCATATGGAGTATTTTCTTTTAAAATGATTAAAATTGTGACCTTTTATGGGGGAGATACTAGAGATGGTGGACCTATATTTTTACTGTATATTATATAATTTCAATCTATATTTAGTATAAATATTGTAACGAATATAAATTTAGATTTAAGTTAATTTAGATGAATTCCGTTAATTTAAGAATTTGAATTGTAACGTAAATTTCTACTACGCAGTTTATTTGAATAACTTCACAACAACAACTACTGTATAGATTTTTCTACATCCTTCCATTTCCTCTTTAATTGTCTATTTTTTTGTTGACGTACAATTCTTGTTAAACGTCATCATTGATGATCGCTTAATTCCTCTTTCTTTGTTACCCCCCTCGCCTGTATATGTGTTGTTGTTATTGTTTACTCAATGTAAGTTTGTATGTGTTGTTGTTATTGTTTACTCAATGAAAGTTTGTTTGTGTTGTTGTTATTGTTCGCTCAATGTAAGTTTGTATGTGTTGTTGCATTGGTAGATTGTTTGTAATCTAGGCGTTACCAGATCGTCTAGAAACTTCTGTAGCGACAGGCAAGGCTCATATAAATAGAGGAAATGGAAAGGCAGTTAGTGAGTTGTGAATCAGATCGCGAATTGAAACCGTCAAGTAACGTAAAGCTGTAAAGTAACGTGCAAAGTAAAGTGTGTCAATAAACTCATTGTAATAATCGTAATCAGAACGAACCCGCGTTTTATTTGGTACGAACTGTATCGGGAAATAAAACAACGTCTACACGGGAATAAGTAAAGTCCAAGAACGTAACAATTGGTGTCGGAAGTGAGATTACGATAATACTACGATGAAGTTTAAGGATCTACGAGTGGAAGACTTGAAGAAGGAGCTTAATAAATTGGAATTGTCCTCTACTGGCAACAAGGCTGAACTACAAAAACGTCTGTTGGATGAGTTCGAGCGCCGTGGTATGAACATCGATACATATGAGTTTGACTGTAAGGATGAGGTGGATTTATCGGAAATCGGCGAATCCAACGGTGGGGAAGTCTCGTCAGTAGCTGCCAGGGGTGACGATTTAAGAGAAATGCTGGCTAAAATGTTCGAAGAGAATTCCAGAAAGTTAGATGAACTCAAGTCAGAGAATTGTAGAATGTTCGAAGAAAATTCGAGAATAATGAACGAGAAACTCGAGTACATTACAGATGTTATTGCAAGGAGAGTGGAAACTGTGGAGGTCCAAATTAAAGAGTTGGATAAGAAAGTGCAGTCGGTTGACGAGAAATTTCTGGCCCACGACCACAGGTTTACGAATCTGGAGAAGAAAATTTCGGAGCTGGAAATCAAAGGTGGTCCGGTGCGAGTTCCTGATAACACGCTAAAAATCAAACCTCCTGTATTCGACGGCTCTACGTCATTCAATGTTTTCAAGTTACAGTTCGAGACAGTGGCTTCTAGAAATTCGTGGAACGACAGCGACAAAGCGGTTGCACTACTTCTGGCATTGAAGGGCAGTGCTGCTGATGTTATACAGAGTATTCCTGTCGCTTCTAGAAACAACTATGAAGATGTTATTGCTGCACTGGAACGTAAGTACGGTGGCGAACATAAACGAAACATCTACCTTATGGAATTAAAGGGAAGAGTACAGAGGGCAAACGAGACGTTACAAGATTTTGCAGTTGAGGTGGAACGTTTGGTGCTAATGACGTATCCAGGAGAGGATCATCCATTGCTGGACCGTATGAAAATCGAGACCTTTGTGAATGGCATACGTGACCCTGAGATTAAGTGTGCAACATATGCGTCACCAAAAGCGTCATTTGCCG